GGGGGGGGGGGGGGGGGGGGGGGGCAAAATATGTTATGGTTTATAATGGTAAATGTACTTTGAATATTACATGTTGATAACTTGATTGGAATTATAAACCTAAGTTGACAGTTTGATACTTTAATTTTTTTTTGAGCCATCCCTTCCCCCAAGGGCTGTAGGGTGGGGCCCAATGGAGTCTGTGTGCTAAAATTTCTTCATTTTCCTTGTTTAGAATCAGAGGTGCTAGGTTCAAATACTTTTCAGTCTTAAATCTGCATGCTAGATATTGAATAAGGTGGTTTTATTGTTTTTTGTTACTTTGAATAATACTTCTGTTCATGTTAAAAACAAAAATCAACTCTCTGTATAAATATAACAGGTGACCGTTAAGGCCCTTGGGCCTCTTGTCTTTATTTTAAAATGATGGAAGAGTTCCTCTCGTTTTAATATTTTATAAAATAAACGTAGCCGATTACAGTATGGCAGCCTATGTCAAAACCACCACAAGTATGTTACACATGCAGCTTTTTAATTTCATTTACTTTCTCTATAATACCGACGGCTATATGGTTTCATTGTTTAGCTATTTTAAATCTGATTAAATGCTGTCATCTTGATTAAACTTTTTTTTCTTCTATCATCTACTATCCGCGATATTTGCAATGCTCGTACTGTCTGTTGTCCCACCGTTTTGGTTTTTGGTTTTTTTACGATGTCGTTTGAACCTCGGATTCGTCGAATACCATTTTATCCTTCGAACTATTGATCTGGACCCTACGAGTTCAAGTTAGCGGGGTTTAACTGTAGTTGAAAACTTCAATCAATTTCTTCTGAATAATGGAAAGGCCCAGAATCATGATATTAGGTTGGTAGTATATTAGAGTGATGATTTGACAAGACAGTTTGTACGTTTCACTTGTATTTATTTACAGGTCTGCAAATTGTACATATAGTTACAATTTCTTCTCAATAATATCCACAGTCAATCTGGTACTCCTACCTTGCATATAGCAATCTCTCTCTGCCTCTCTGATTTGGGTCCAGATAAACTTATAAGCTTACACGTTACCTAGGTGAAGACACCTACCCTGTACTACCCTACTATTGCTAACAGTTAGAAGGATGTGTTTCTAACTGGAGTTTAAATTCATATATATACAAAACCCTAACTGATACAAACAACTTATAAACTAGATATGAAAGAAGATATTCTCTAGCTTATAATGATATAATTTAACTTAAACCTATGACATAGATATAAATACAATAATGAATTATTATAGATTCAAGCCATTTTAAACTACTGACTAGTTTAAAATTATAAAAACAGTGTCTTAAACTACACATTATGTACATTCAAATGGTATCAACATTATTCTCTAAATGATAATTATCAATCAGAAATAATACATTTAAACTACAAAACAAAAACAAATATCTGCATAGGTGAAGTGTCAAGCCCAGCTAGTTCCCAGTGGAGTATCCCCACAGCTGACCATCAGCAAGAGGGAGCTGACACAGCATGATACTTCCTACACACCTAACACAAATTGCTTAGCACTTATAATTTACCTGGCTAGCAGATTTACATTACTACAGTAGCTTCAAAGGATAAAGCCAAACAAACTTTGCAATTAAAAATGACCTTGACCTATATTCAAAATCTGTACTGTATTCAAGGTCACAGGAGTCAAATATGTTAAAACTTATAAGGAAAGGCTGATTATCATATTTTCCCCATAGCATGCTGGGATGAAGGGCTGTACAATTTGTTTAAATGAATGACCTTCACCTTTACACAGGGTCATTTAGGTCAATGTGTCGTGCATCTGTAAACAGTTCACAGTTTTGACTTTTGACAAGGAAAGTTCCATGGTCAAATGCAAACCAAGTCATATGGATCTAACCCCAAGGGCCTGAGGGGTAGGGCCAAAAGTGTTCAAATTGGCTAAAATGTTTACAACCATCTTCTTCAGACCTAGATAAACTGGAATTAAATTTCCTTCATTGATGAAAGGGTCTTAAGGTGCCTTTTCAAAATTGTGAATTTTCTTAGCCCCAGGTCACTCCCCTTTTGGAGGAGGTGAAGTTTTCTATAGTTTATAGAGAAATAACACTTTTTGGTAAATTTTGCTTATTTAGAGTTGGAAACAATTCATTGGTAGTTTGAATCATCATGTGATTGCAGTTTGATATTATTAAGACCCAGGCTCACCCCAAGAGGCCCAAAACTTTAAATTGGCTAAAATGTCAACTGTCTTCTTCTTGAGACCAAATAGATAGAAAGATATGCTTTATCAAAATTGTGAATTTCATCACACCTGGGTCACCATTGGCTCTCTGTTTGAAGGGGGGTACATTTCACTATATTAAATTATATGGTTTTATTACTTCAGCCTTTTCTGAAAGTTGTCGGTTATAGTATGTATATGATTTATGATAATCCTTCCCTAGCAAATAAAAAGGGCCTGTTTGGAATATATGTCCTATTTGTTTTTGTCCCATCACAACAACAAATAACAATTGGATTATAACTCAGGTGACCACTAAAGACTATGGATCTCTTATCTTAATTAAGAAATTATCAGTGAGTTTGAAGTGTAGGAGTCTATCCCATTTATGATAGATGGGTCAGATATACTTCAACTGGATACAGTTGAATATTTGTTAATTATTATCAGCAACTCTATTCAAATGACTGATACAGAATCTTCATCACCATCTGCTTTCCACCTGGTCCTCTCTGGTCTTGTTGTCAGTGCTTCAATAAAGAGATTTGTTGAATAAATGAAGTTGGACAATTACATATAGGTAGTATTTCTCCTACCCTATTGAGACATAAGTCATTGTATGGCATAAAGAACAGTGTTCTTTCAAAATCGATGCCAATTGTAAGAGATGATCATAAGTGTTTGATAATTTTCTGTGACGCTGAACATGTTGTCTAGGAGTGAACTTATTGACTATTATATTGTTTTTCAGGCTGTCGGTGGATTGTTTGCTGCAGTGGCTAATTTACTGACATTAGTAGCAGGGTCAACACAGCTTCACAGTGCCTTCGCCTATTTTACAGCAGCAACTCTAGTTTCGGTTGTGACTTTAGTCTCCTATATTCTCCTGTATTACTTAGTAAGTCTATAAACATTCCATACAACTGTTACATAAAACATGTTCTTTAACACTAATATTGATCAAAACAAATATTCAGATTTTTCATATCACGTAGGGGCAGGGCCAAAAAGTGTCAGATTGGCTAAGATATCAAATGCTCTTCATGAAAGGACAGTACTTCAAGGGCTTTATCAAAATTTTGATTTTCCTCAGGGTAACCCCTTCATACCTGGGGATGGGTTAAAGATTCTATTACGTTAAATGACTATTATTTCAGGTATTTTTCCTAAAAATTGCCATACATTGCGATATTTGGCTTATGTTTATATTTTGTTTTTGTCAGTTCACAACAACAAATAACAATGGTATTTCATCTCAGATGACCATTTAGGCCCTTGGGTCTCTTGTAAGGTTGAAAATTAGACTAGACTTGATCTGATTAGGTTAAAATAAAGTATTTCTCAAAATTTGACCTACATAAAAAAAGTTGTCATTGACTTCAGAAATCAACCTAGATCTGTATTTCGACCAAATTTGGAATTTGACTTACATTGTTATCAAACCCGATACAAAGCCCCAAGGTGAGCTGTAACATGGCATCTGTTGTCAGTCTATCTGTACACAAATGTTTTTTTTTATAGGACATCATCTTCAGAAGAACTGCTGATCGGAATTTAACCAAATTTGACAGGCAGTATCTGTTGGTGGTGGGGATTCAGAATTGTACAAATTGTAGGTCCCACTTTTATAAGATGGTGGGCTTATCAAATTGCCCTTCATCCGCAGTCTGTCCATGCACTCTTTAACAATTCTTGTTACATTGTATCACTATTTCTAATAAGGCACTGAAGGAATCTTTCTCAAATTTCATGTGAATGTTTCATTTTGGGGACTGATCAGAAAAAAATTGGCCACTTACCAGCTATTTAGAGAGTTCAAGTTTATTATCGCTATTTCCCATATTTCATATGAAGGTTAACCTGGATCAATAGTTGTGCATGTTAAATATTTTGCTATTTCTCAAGAAGAAAACAAAGACCTCACTCTTGCAGTGTGTGCTAAACTCTGTCGGACAGTAGGACATGTCCGAACAAATAACACCACAGACCAGCAAAATGTTTCTGATACTGTAAATGTCTGGTAAATATTTCTGCTTTAATCTGGCAAAATTTCCTATATTGGTTCTGTCATTAACAACTTTTCATTTCAGAAGTGTAAAACTAAAAAACCACTTACCCGACGCCAAGGAAAACCAGTTTTAGAGCTTGGGCAAGTGCAAAAATGTAGCTCACTTGACAGAGGCAGGTGCAATAGACTGGTTTCTGAAACATGTTTTGCATGTGTTTACTCCGTTTCCTCTGACTGGAGGTGAATGAATGATAAGCTGAATTGACTGTAGTTTAGTGATACACTTAAACATTTATGAAGGAACAAACTTTCTTTTTTTTTTAAAGAAAAAAATGCTGGTAGAATACTGGCTTGCACAACACATGCAAAATGCAACAGCCTCGGGTGTGTAGTAAACAATTTGAAATTTGATAGTAGAACTCAAGAACTGTTCTAATGGAAATAATTGGAAATGGTAGTATTTTCACAAAGGCTGTTATTACTGGCGGGATATCTAAAAGGTAGGCACCAGTGTTAGAGGGAGGGGCAGGGATTGTGTATTAGATATTTTAATAGGTTTTTTTTACTATTATTCCCACTTTTCATGGATAAATGATATCTTTGATGTCTCTTCCATTTCCATTTTATTTCACAGATCTGAAGTATGGTAGTGTCACCTTAGGCACATTATGATAATGTAATAGCACAGATCATAAAAAACATCATCATATGATCATTATCAGGAAAAAAACTCATACTATGTCCCACACTTCAAGATGTAGTGGGTGTAAAATCCCTCTGGTCTGATCACCTATTTCCTTCCCAATACATTCATCCATTACATTTATTAGTTGAGTTCATGTCAAAATTTTAAGTCATTAGAAAATACCAATATATTGAAATAATTAACCTTGACAATAGATCTTTGTTGATTTTTTCAGGATTATTCAAAGTTTCATTTAGAAATGAATGGTAAGTTACAATTTCTAAATAATCTTATCATTTTTTAGAAATTTGGACCCATATGCCTGTCTGAATTATTTGATTTCTTTAAAAATATCTGGATTGTGATTCAATAAAAGTTATATAATAAAGTTGTTGTAGACTTTTTATGCTATCCTCATATCAGAAACGAGTTTTCTTTGGTGGTGTTGACTAAGTTCTCTTCTTTTATTGCCTAGCACACTCCAGATCATTGATTTGTTTTAAACATGTATTGTGATGAAATAATTGCTAATGACAATTTTAATATTTTTGATTCTATTTGACAGTTACAATACAGGAAGATGGGTTTGCAGAATCTTCCCATTCAGCTGGCAGTTTATCACAGAGATCTTCCTCTACGTTCCCTGTTCTGAAAAAGGTTGGTGACTTTTGTAATTCAGCTGTTAATTAAGGATGCGGTGCCCTATAGTAATCAGACTCCGTCCTTCTGTCTGTTCGGTTTTTCCAGACAATATCTTACAAAGAAATGGTAGGATTTTAATCAAACTTTGCTGATACTTACCAAATTAGTCTTTCTCTCTCAGATTCTATGATCAGCAAATTCTGTGCATATTTAATGGGGCTGCTATGTTCTGATTGACTGATAGTAGTTTGCGTGATATTTTAGGAAGGAATCATTGGATTTTGATTACTCTTGCCTGCTATACTATTTCTCCGAGATTCTAACTGGGATTTTTTTTGCAGATATATAAAAGATTTTTATTTATCACACAAAAAAAACTGACATCAGAAATGCAACACATTATATAATCAAAGGCCTTTCTTGTAACAATTCCACCCTTGGCTAGAACAGGTACCAGTCTTTTTTAGGTCACCTGAGCTTTAGCTAAAGTGACCTTTTGCTATCCATCTTCGTCCGTCGTCGTCCATCGTCTGTTAACATTTTACATTTTCAACTTAAGCTGAAATACTCGGAAAGGGATTTCATTAATATTTCATGGGAAGGTTACTGACATCTCCCTGACCGAGTATTGTTATTTTTCGGGTTGATCAGAAATCCAATATGGCTGCCTCAGACGCCATTTTGAAAAACTATTTCAAACTTAAAGTCAAGTCCTACTGGGCCGATTGAACTGAAACTTAGGAATGATCGACTCATGGTCCTGACAAAGTGTTTTTATTTTTCGGGCCGATCAGAAACCCAATGTGGCCGCCACGGCCGCCATTTTGAAAAACTATTTCAAACTTAAAGTCAAGTTCTACTAGCCCGATTGAACTGAAACTTTGTAGGAATGATCGACTCATGGTCCTGACAAAGTGTTTTTATTTTTCGGGCCGATCAGAAATCCAATGTGGCCGCCACGGCCGCCATTTTGAAAAACTATTTCAAACTTAAAGTCAAGTCCTACTGGGCCGATTGAACTGAAACTTAGGAATGATCGACTCATGGTCCTGACAAAGTGTTGTTATTTTTCGGGTCGATCAGAAATTCAATATGGCCGCCACAGCTGCCATTTTGAAAAAAGTATTTCAAACTAGTATGTTATACTTAACTATTTTGTACTCAAATTGGTACATATTTCAACAACAAAAATAAATACTGTAGGACTCAGGTGACCGTTTAGGCCCATGGGCCTCTTGTTTCTGTATTTCCATGACCTGTTAAAAAAATAACAGTTCATATCAAAAGTAAGAACTTTACCATAGTAACATGAAAAAGTTTATAACATGAAAGATAAAAAAATATGATAATTTGACAGTGGAAAAATATTTTACAATTACTTCTGACTACTATCGTAAGCAACAAATAACAGTTAGACCCTTAGCATTTATACCACGTTTGCAATCCGATTTGTTGCATGATTATGTATTGGACTACCTACGTACTATGTCTATCCAACATGCCAAAGCACTTCCCGAAACTCGTTATTTTTTCATCGCATCAGATTAAAATTGTTTATTACTACAAGTCTCTGGTGTGTTAAATCATATACGCCACTTTACTGCAAAAAATAACTTCGAACTTTTTATCAGCCATTAGCGACTGTCTGTTCGTGATTCAAGAATCGTTTTCTCTTAATATTCGTTAAGGCCCGACCTAAAAACAATCTTTCCTAATACACTGCGATGGTACTAGTAAAACTTTCTTTTTCTGTGCGTAAGGTACGTTCAATATTAAGTTTACGAGTGAAAACAACTTGATTGATTGATTGATAGGTTTTATGTCCGCTTCACTACCGAGTAGTTCAGTTATCCAGCAGACGACTGTCAAAACAACTCACCTTACGATATATAAATTACATTCGTTTCCACCGGATGTAAAGCGACACCTCGCGTTAGCTCACTTCCAAAGCACAACGTTGCAATAAGAGTTATTCCCCTTTGTACGACCCTAGCTAAAAATTGCCGATTTATGGCTTCGCGTGGGATAGAGGGAGAATATTTTCTAATGCGTGAGATTTATGGCTCACGTGGCGTGAGACATGATTATGCGTGAGTAAGGCTGTCTCAGCGTGACGAATGCATGAGATTTTGTCTCACACCGTGAGAGTTGGCAACCCTGATAGAGCCGAACAAAGTTTGAGAATGAAAATTAGTTAGACTTACTTTCAAGGTCACAGGGGTCAAATATGTCAAATGCTTCAAACGACTTCTTCTGAAGAACTGAACGGTATAGCATCTTTATATTTGATTGATGACCTCCTGGGATAGAGCTCGGCAAAGTTTGAGGATGGAAATGAACTTGACCTTCTTTCAAGGTCACAGGGGTCAAATGTCTCAAACACTTCAAACGACTTCTTCTAAAGAACTGAAAGGTATAGAATCTGTATATTTGGCTGGTGTCTTCCTGGGATAGAACCTGACAAAGTTTGAAAACGAAAATGACCTTGACCTACTTTCAAGGTCACAGGAGTTAGATATGTCTAATGCTTAAAACGACTTCTTCTGAAGAACTGAAAGTTATAGAACCTAAATAGTTGTCTTGAAGCTTTCTGGGAAAGAGTCCAACAAAGTTTGAGAATGAAAATGACCTTGACCTACTTTTAAGGTCACATGAGGCAGATATGTCAAACTCTTAAAACGACTTCTTCTGAAGAACTGGACGATATAGAACCTTAATATTTGGCTGGTTATATCCTGGGAATGAGCCCAACAAAGTTTGCGAATGAAAATGACCTTGACCTTCTTTCAAGGTCACAGGAGTCAGATATGTCTAACACTTAGAACAACTTCTTCTGAAGAACTGGGCGGTATAGAACCTTGATATTTGGCTGGTTATTTCCTGGGAAAGAGCCAAACAAAGTTTGCGAATGAAAATGACCTTGACTTACTTTCAAGGTCACAGTGTTCAAATATGTCCAACGGTTCAAACTACTTCTTCTGAAGAATTAAAATTCATAAAATTATAATATTTGGCTGGTGACTTCCTGGGATAGAGCTCACCAAAGTTTGCGAATGAAAATGACCTCAACCTACTTTAGAGGTCACAGAGGTCAACAACATTTTAAAGGATTTGTTCTCAAGAACTAAAAGGAATGGATTCATAAGATTTGGCTGGTAGCATTTTGGAATAGAGCTAACCAATTTGAGAAGGAAAATGACATTAACCTACTTACAAGGTCACAGGGAAAAATATGTCGAGCAACTTCTGAAGAAAAATCAAAAAGCAAAGAATCTTATTTTGCTGGTTGTTTCAACAGATGGAGCCAACAAAGTTTGCGAGGGAAATATTTTTAGTGCAATATAATATTTAATGAGAATATTTTGCTATGACTGCTTAAATATTCAGGTGAGCGATACAGGCCCTCTTGGGCCTCTTGTTTGCTTTAATTTATTAATTCTATGGTGATTGGAATAAATGGTTGCTGCAATCCAACCGGGCATTCTTTAAAGTGCATGTCAGTCATAAAGGCATAAGTGAGCTACTCAAGCCGTAGAACACTGTATGAGGTGGGCGGAAGTCATAGACTCCACAAAATCTTCATAAGAATAAAGACGGCTATTTTCTATATGAACCATATCGGATAAAAATTGAATTATCTTTGATAGAATTATCTTTGTGTATTGAACCATAATGGTAGTTTTAGCAGGTCAGGAGGTTTAATATTAAGTTTTATGATATATTCAGCAAATGTACTAAAAACTTCCATCCAAAATGGGTTTTTATATCTTTGTGATAGTCTAATGTAATAGTTGTCACCCAAAGTTGTCAACTTGTTGACATTTGTGTTATATACATCAAACAATAATGTTTTCCAGGTAGCGTCAGAATTGAGAATTCTCCGTATCCAGGTTAATTTTAATGCTTTATTAAAGGATACAATGTGCGTCATCCTACACCCACCATTCTTATAATCTTGTATAATCTGATTTCTAGCTATTCTATCTCTTGTATTCCAGATAAAATTGAAAAAGGCATTCTCTAATTCTTTAGTAAGTTTGTCTTCTGGTTTAGGTAAGCTCATAAATAAATGAGTCAATTTTGGAATTAATAGAGATTTGACTACTGTAATCTTACCGAGGACAGTCAGTCTTCTTTTATACCAATGTTTTAGTGTATTACTGATATCACTTAGTTTGGCTTTAAAATTTAATTTTGGTATATCTTCAAGTTTTAAGCTAAATAGGATGCCCAGTACCATGAACGGTTCATTGGTCCACTCAAGGTTCCACTCATTACATAGTCTATTTGTGGCATTTTTACTTGAACCTATCCAGACTGCCTTAGTTTTTTCAAAATTTGGTGTCAAGCCGAAATACTTTGAAAACTGGTCAAGGAGATCAAGAGTTTTCTTCAGAGATTTTTCCGTACCATTCAAAAATATACCAGTATCATCAGCATACTGAAAGAGTTTATACTCTTTGTTAACAATTATAATACCTTTAATTACTTGATTAGACCTCATTAGGATACTCATTATTTCTACACATAGGAGAAAAATATATGGCAAGATGGGATCGCCCTGACGGCAGCCCCGTCCTATATTAAAAAATGTTGAATAAAAAACATTTTGGAGTACACATAATTTAGCATCGTTTTACAAAACGCTTATCCATTTAATAAATTCAGGACCAAACTTAAAAAACTCTAGAACATTATACATAAATTGCCAGGTCACCGAATTGAATGCCTTCTCGAAATCGATCAATAATAGAATTCCTGGTGTGTGATTTTTTCAGTATAATACAAGATGTGATAAAGTAGTCGGGTATTTTCCCCTATATATCTACCAGATAGAAACCCCTTCTGATTTTCATAAATCAGTTTATTCATAATTTTTTTCATTCTTTGTGCCAAGCATGTTGATTTTGTAAAAGACATTAAGGAGTGATATGGGTCTCCAATTCTTTATATAGGAGCTCTCTGGGCTTATCCCCTTTTGGCAACATGGAGATTATTCCTAATCTTTTGATAGT